CATTGGATGATCAAGGTCCACTATATGAGTGAGAACATGTGATACTCAGATCTTTGTTTTTGTGAGAGGTCACTCAGTATTATTGACTCTAGTTCCATGCAGGTTGCTGCGAAATTCATAATTTTGTTCTTTTTTATGACTGCATAGTATTCCATCATGTATATGTCCCACATTTTTTTAATCCAGTCCTCTTTTGATGGGCAGCATGGTTGGTTCCAGGTTCTTGCTATTGTGAACAATGCTGCAATAAACATTCGTGTGCAGGTATTTTTTTTATAGAGTGATTTGAATTTTTCAGGGTATATTCCCAGTAGGGGGATTGCAGGGTCATATGGGAGGTTGATGTTTAGAGCTTTTAGGAATCGCCACACTGCTTTCCACAGAGGTTGCACTAGTTTACACTCCCACCAACAGTGTAGGAGTGTTCCCTTTTCACCACACACTCTCCAACAACTGTTATTTTTTGAGTTATTGATAATGGCCATTCTGACTGGAGTTAGATGGTATCTCAGTGTGGTTTGATTTGCATCTCCCTGATGATTAGTGAGGTTGAGCATTTCTTCATGTGTTTGTTGGCTGGTCAGATGTCTTTCTTTGTGAAGTGTCTGTTCATTTCTTTTGCCCATTTTATAATGGGGTTGTTTGTTTTTTTCTTTTCAGCACATTTGAGTTCCTGGGAGATCCAAGATGTTAAGCCTTTGTAAGACCTGGAGTTGGCAAATACTTTTTCCCAGTCTGTAGGCTGTCTTCCTGCTCTCTTGATGGTTTATTTGGCTTTGCAGAAGCTTGTCAGTTTAATGAGGTTCCGCTTGTCTATTTTATCCCTTATGGCCTGTGGGGTCAGGTTTTATTCAGGAATTGGATGCCAATTCCAATTTCCATGAGGTATGTCCTTCATTTTCTAAGGTTCTTATGGTTTGAGATTTTACATTTAGGTCTCTGATCCATTTGGAGTTAATTTTTGTATATGGGGATAGGTAGGGGTCCTGTTTCATTCTTCTGCATGTGGTCAGCCAGTTTTCCCAGCACCATTTACTGAATAGGTTCTCCTCTCCCCAGTGGTAGGTGATGAAGGCTTTGTCGAAGATGAATTGATTGAGAAATTGAGGTTTTGCTTCTGGAATCTCAATTATATTCCATTGATCTATATGCCTATTCCTATACCAATACCAAGCTATTTTGATTATTGTAGCTTTATAGTAAAGTTTGAAGTCTGGTAATGTGATAACACCTGCTTATTTTTTTTTTTTTTTTTGCTGAGGATTGTTCTGGCTATTCTTGGTTGTTTGTGTTTCCATATGAATTCCTGCATTGTTTTTTCTAGGTCTGAGAAGAATGTTCCTGGCAATTTGATAGGTATTGCATTGAATCTGTAGATTGCCTTCGGTAAGATGGATATCTTCACAATGTTGATTCTTCCAATCCATGAGCAAGGGATATTTTTCCACTTGTTTGTGTCATCTTTGATTTCTTTGAGCAGTGTTTTGTAGTTTTCATTGTAAAGGTCTTTCACGTCTGGTTAGGAAGATGCCAAGGTATTTCATTTTTTTTGTGGCTATTGTGAATGGAATTGTGGTTTTTATTTGGGTTTCTGTTTGTTTATTATTGATGTAAAGAAATGCGGTTGTCTTTTGCACATTTATTTTATATCCTGAGACTTTGCCAAAGGCCTTTATCAGTGTAAGGAGGTTTTTGACAGTTTCTCTTGGGTTTTCAAGGTACACGATCATGTCATCTGCAAAGAGAGATAATTTGACTTCCTCTTTTTCTATTTGGATACCCTTGATTGCCTTCTCTTCTCTGATTGCTTGAGCCAGGACTTCCAATACTATATTGAACAGGAGGGGTGAGAGTATGGGCATCCTTGTCTTGTTCCAGTTTTCAGGGAAAATGGTTTCAATTTTTGTCCATTTAGGAGTATGCTGGCTGTGGGTTTCTTGTAGATGGCTTTTACTACTTTGAGGTATGTTCCCCGTATTCCTAGATGTTCGAGTGTTTTTATCAAGAAGGGGTGCTGGATTTTATCAAAAACTTTTTCTGCATCTAATGATATAATCATGTGGTTTTTGTTTTGACATCTGTTGATGTATTTAATTACATTTATCGTTTTACGAATGTTGAACCAGGCTTGCATTCCAGGGATGAAGCCTACTTGGTCATGATGGATGATTTTTGAGATGTGTTGCTGAATCCGGTTTGCTAGAATCTTGTTGAGAATTTTAGCATCTGTGTTCATAAAAGATATTGGCCTGTAGTTCTTTTTCTTTGTTGGATCTTTACCTGGCTTGGGTATCAATGTGATGTTAACTTTATAAAATGATTTGGAGGAGGGTTCCATCTTTCTCAATCTCCGAAATACCTTCAGTACAATTGGAATCAACTCCTCCTTAAATGTCTTATAGAATTCTGCTGGAAAGCCATCTGGTCCAGGGCTTTTTTTTGTAGGTAGTTTTCTTATTACATAGTCAATTTCCTTGATTGTTATTGGTCTATTTAGGGTCTCTATTTCTTCTTGTTCCAACCTAGGTAGGTTGTGTGATGTCAGAAAGTTCTCCATTTCCTTGAGGTTTTCAAGTTTGTTTCCATACAAGTGTACATAGAAGTCTCTAATGATCTTTTGTATTTCTTCAGGGTCAGATGTGACTTCATCTTTTGTGTTTCTGATTGTGCTTATTTGGATTTTTCCTTTCTTTTTCTTCGTCAGTCTAGCTAGGGGACCGTCAATCTTGTTTATCCTTTTGAAGAACCAGCTTTTTGTTTCATTGATTTTTTTGTATTATCTTTTTGTCTTCTGTGTTCTGGATTTGGGCTTTTATTTTGGTGACCTGGATTCTTCTACTGAAATTAGGGTTTTTT